ATTGGAATAAAGAATGTGTTTATGAGGGAGCCTGATGGAATTCCTATCACGAAAGTGTTAAATCAATTCAGAGATAGCAAGTCGCCTATTTGTTTGCGAAATTATTTTGGCAGTAACGAGATTTTCTGTAGCCTTCTGCTTGATTAGCCAGCACAATTGAATACACCATGGCTTGAATTTAAATCTCTAGGAAATGTTAAACAAGAGCCCTTATGTACACAACTAGTAAAGCAGGTATATTGGGCCCCTTTAGTGACATTTGTGTATTCGGGATATGATGCTGGACGTATTTGTATGTGGTTTACACAGACGAATCGGTCAGCCGTCGGCAAGAGAAGTGCATTGGCGGTCAGTGTGAGCGCAAAGGGATAACGATAAAACAGATGAGGCTTTGGCTGTTACATACAACAGCATCAATATGGAGACCATGGCTGCTACAACGGCACTGACATGGCTGGGTACTCAAGGATTCACACATGGGTTCATATGGGTACCGATTCAATGAATACGCTTAAGAAAATCTAGGCCGGCTTTATCAGACATGAATGGATTCTCTCATTAAATGCTTCACGAATAATTCGCGTAACCTTCCTCTTTGTGGGTGGCAATGCAGGTGTTCAAGGCCATGAGCGTGCAAAATTATCTGGCCGACCAGGCAGTTACTACGACTGGTCTGGCACTGAACAGGAGCAATGTCATTAATGCCAGTTGCATATCTCGAAGGAAATCATGACAACAAGCATAACTCTGTATCATTTCCCAGCCTGGTAGACATGGTGGTGAGCCCTGTAATAGCTAGATATGAACATTTCACAATGGGCAGAAGTTTTACTCTTTTGGAACTATGGGGAAAGGGGGATACAGGAGCACGTATGGATCCGTCTGATGTGCTGTGATAATTGCACCCACTATTAGTCTTGTAGACCGCACGGCACGCTAGGGGTGATGAGTAAACACTGCGCCGGTCGCCTTTATTTCCGAGGACTTAATCTGGCACCCATCTTAGGTTTGGCTGACTTGTAAGAGGTGGTCTGTGAACCAGCGTGGCGCTTTATTTTTTTTTTTTTTTTTATTTATGTAACTAAAGCATTGTCATGTTTGAGATGAGAGGACATTTAAGGGAAATTTGGGATAATCGAGTTGTCACCTGCATACAATGCTTCCTGTGGGGAAAATTTAGATAAATTTAGAGGCCTAACTCTAATTCCTGATCTAAATATATACACCAACAAGCAAACAATGAACCTGGGCATGTGGGAAGAAGCATGGACAGAGAAGACATCATCAATGCTGTATGGACTATGTTAATTGTTAATGATACATCTCTGGCACTAACACGATTGCGTGACATGGGATTACAGTATGGCGAAGCTAATCTATTCCACCTATGATGCCGAGATAGGATACAGATCTTAGCCCCTCATGGGAACAATATGTGGAGGTGCCTTGGACTAGCTGCTGCATCGAAGAACTGAGAACATATGAGAATGCAGAATGTGCAGTGACGTCCATTGTGATAACATAAACATAACGTATATGGTACGAAATGCATGTGTTTACGAACAAAGAGGTGTGATCAATTACTAGTATTCAAACTTTCTTTCTTTATTTGAAATAATAATTAAAGGTCGATTACCTCATCAGTTTACTAGTCAAAAAAAAAAAAAAAAAACACACACACACAAAACAGACAGGAAGAAGGAGTTTAACTCCCTCTTCCCCACTGGATTAGTATTTTAACTACGCTCGCCGCATCCAGTTATTTTTCAAAGCCTTACATCACACCGAGTTAATATTTTAATTTATTTTGTTAAAACCAGTTATTATGTCTACTCTGTTTCCTTATTTACAATAAATTATAGACAAAGGGAAAAAAATTAGAAAACTTTGATACATGCCAACTGAACTGAAAACAACACAGCGCTAAAGCAGTGTTTACAGATGTGTTGCCTCCATTTTTGTTTTGATGTGTTTCACGCGATGCTAACCTGGTTTGAGCCATGCTTTTTCCGGTTAACGGTTCAACTTCCGCTTGGCTAGGAAATTATATAAAAAAAGAAAAGATAACCGGCCACTAGGAAAATGGGTGAGTAATCGCATAATCGCAAAACACCAGCGAAGCTTTTCAGATTATAACATTTCAAGAGATTTCAATTGTTCCATATGCTCGGGCACAAACAGAAGCAATGAAATCACAAATGGCCAGAGGAACCAATTGTTTCTCGCTCTTTGCTGTTAACACCGCATTAGCGTAATCGATTTTCTTATAAACGAAGTTATGTGTATTTTAACGACAAGGCGTATTCGTTTGCAGTACAATACTCCACGCGAACATAATTTTTATATTACATTTTGTAATAAATTAAGCTTTAATGAACTACTGTCCCCTTATGTTCACATTACGTTACAGTATTCTTCAGGGCATGAAAAAGGATTCGTCAATTTAACAAACGCCATTTTTGATTGTTTTCCTCATGAGTGATTTCTTCCGTCCTCTAGGGATTATTACATTCCACACATGAAGACTAGAGATCAAACTAAAACCATGTGACCAGTGAATTAGTCAACTAGTGGGTCGAACGACCCTTTTGTGGGTCGAACCACCCTTTCACGGGGGTCACCAAAGATTATCGGAAAGCTCATATTCACTGAAGTTATGAAGTAGCAACGACAATAACTGTATAGATATGGGTTGCCTCAACATGAAGAACTGTATCAAAGGGTGGAGACATTCGGAAGGTTGACAGCCATTGTTATAGCCCGTTTCAAAAGTTGTGCCCTAAGACTGTAACAAATATCTTCAAAACTCCTGTATGTAACAATACAGGACAAATGGCGAATTTGTTTCGCCTTATATTTCCAATGTCTTTATGATTTTATCATTTACAGTTTCATAAATGCTGGTGTTTTCTTAAATAGGCGTATTTCTGTGAACATACGAGAGGCAACTGCAGGAGATGACCACTCGAGATTAAAAGGCCCATTAAACGTGCAATCTGATGTTTTTAAAAGCTGCTATTACTCAGTTTAATCAGGTTATTGTAAGGGTGCTCACGTTCGAGTTTAAATTTCAATATGGCAAATAAGGCAAAATAAAAACTAAATGCTTTCTTAACATTTATTCAATAATTCTTACACTGATATTATTATTAACATGTTGCATGCCACATGTCAACAACTTTCATCAAACGGTTACTAAATTATATTTTAAAATTTAGACACAAATTCTGGGACAGACTATAGAATCGTTTTTCGTCGCAACTGAACAGGATGATAGTGATTACTGAGGCAACTTTCTTGCTTAACAAAAAAATGAAATATGTCTGTCTCTCTGTCCGTCTGTCTGTCTGTCTTTCCTTCATAATTTCTTACTTAAACAACTACCTATTTACTTACAGTACTTCATTTCTTGCTTGCTTTTTATTTTCTTTCACATTCTTTATTTATTCAGCTTTTCCCCTACTTGCTTAATTGTTTTCTCCAGTCCTTCCTCTATAAGCCTTTCATATAGAAT